TAAGTTTAAATAAAGTTCTTAAAATTATAATTTTATTTAAAAAAAAAAGTTATTAAATTATTATTTTAAAAAATTATCATATAAATTTATTTTTTATATCATAATATTTTTGGAGCAAAGAAAGCAATTCAAAGCGTAAAACATACATTTATAATATACTAGTTTTGTGTCCGTGCGATGCTCGGGTTGTTTATGGAATTTTAAGATAAAATTATATTATAATTCAATTTAATTGATTGAAAATAGAATTCTAAATTAACTTTTTTTTTCTACAAAGTCTATCTATATTTATGCAATGTGGTGTGACTCTTGGTGAAAAGTTAAAATGCTATACGATGTTGTCTTGTGCCCTAATTATAAGTTTATTATTTGGTATTTTATCGAAAATAAAACTCTAAACTAACCATCTTATTCTAAATTCTATCCTAATTTGATTGAAAAAAGAATTTTTAACTAACTTTTTATCTTATTAATCTATTTAAATCTATCCAAGGTGACACGACACTTGGCGAAAAGTTAGAATGCCAAGTGTCACTATTTCGTGACCTGGCTAAAAGTTTAGCTTTATATATTAGTTATATGATACTAATCGGTTAACATAATATACTTTATAATCTAATTGAATTTTATTACTATGTAGACATGTCAATTAGGGTCGGGTCATGAGTCATCTCGGATTGGGTCACTTCAGGTTACAATTCAAGAAATTTTTAATCCTTGCCCAAAGTTTTGGGTTGAGAGTCAACGCAACGGATTTTGAACATTTATTTTATTTAATTTATTTGTTGCTAATTTTTTTAATTTTTTTTTAATGTATTACATCGAACATTTGCACCAACATTACCATTATATGCATACTAGATAACAAATCGTGCCAAAAGCACATCAATTCATAACTAATTTTATATCAATGATATACTTTAAAATTTGACATAAAGATTAAAAATTTATCTTAAAATTCAATAAACAACCCGCGCATCGCACGGGGCACAAAGCTATATATTATAAAGAAGATAGAGATTTTTCAAGGGGCCCATGTAGATTAAAAGATTTGCACTTATATATAGTTTTGCTTGAGTTATTATATTGATGCATTTTTGTATTTATTTATTTTTTCTTCTAATAGGTAAGGATGCAAAATGTGACAAGGCTATGCCAAACAAAGAGCATAGTAACTATAAACGGTCAATTCCCTGGGCCTAGAATTATTGCAAGGGAAGGTGACAGCCTTGAAATTAAGGTCGTTAATCATGTCAAATACAACGTTACTATTCACTGGTAAGTTTTAAATCAAATATAAGCTCAAAACTTATGTTGTTATATAAATCTCATATTGTAGAAATTTTAACTCAAGATTAGATGGATAATGAATATACTTAAAAATTTGTGAAAATAGGCATGGGATTCGACAACTAAGAAGCGGATGGGCCGATGGGCCAGCATACGTTACACAATGTCCAATTCAAACCGGACAAAGCTATGTTTACAAATACACTATCAAAGGACAAAGAGGAACCTTATTTTGGCATGCTCACATTTCATGGCTTAGGGCTACTCTTTACGGTCCTATTGTCATTTTACCAAAACGTGGCGTTCCATATCCATTTCCTCACCCCTTAAAGGAAGTTCCAATCGTTTTTGGTAAGTTTTCCTACACTACAAAGAAAATAAAAGTCCATTAACAATTAGACCATCATTATTTTTACAAAAAAGTTCTGATTATTACTCATGGATATTAAATTGTTTTTCCTAATTTTTTTATATTTTACAAATGAAACCTTATTTATTTAATTAAATGATTTTTTTTTTATGTAAACTAATGTTTTTAAATAATAAAACAGGGGAATGGTGGAAAGCAGACACAGAAGCAGTGATTAACCAAGCAATGAAAACAGGATCAGCCCCTAATCTTTCTGATGCCTTCACAATCAATGGTCTTCCTGGACCCTTATACAACTGCTCAGTTAAAGGTAATATATAATCTAAACTGTACATATAACTAAATTACTATGACTATATATTAGTACCTCACATCTAAAATCGCGCTACTAAACACTGCTGTAGATACATTCAAGCTCAAGGTGAAGCCAGGCAAGACATACCTTCTTCGCCTTGTCAATGCTGCACTCAACAACGAGCTCTTTTTTAGCATCGCCAACCACACACTCACAGTTGTCGAAGCAGATGCCATCTATACCAAGCCCTTTAAGGCCAACACTATCTTAATCACCCCTGGACAGACTACAAATGTATTACTTAGAGCGAAAAAACATCATCCTAATGCCTCGTTCCTTATGGCAGCCCGGCCTTATGCCACTGGACCTGCAACTTTTGACAATACAACTACTGCGGCTATCCTTGAGTATGTTCATCATGATCCTTCTCAAAAGCCTAAAACCTCTAAACTACCTCTAATCAAACCTAAGCTTCCATTCTTCAATGACACATCATTTGCAGCGAAATTTACTAGCAAATTAAGAAGTCTTGCAAACTCTAAATTCCCTGCAAATGTTCCGAAAAAAATTGACAGACATTTTTTCTTCACAGTTGGCCTAGGATTACTCCCCTGCTCTAAGAACCAAAACTGCTCAGGGCCTAACAACACCATGGTTGGCGCGGCAATCAACAATATCTCATTCGTACAACCTAAGACTGCTTTACTTCAAGCTCATTTCTTAAGACAGTCAAATGGGGTGTACACCTCTAATTTCCCAACAAAGCCACCCACTCGATTTAATTACACCGGTACTCCTCCAACCAACATTATGCTAACCAAAGGAACTAGAGTAATGTCCTTACCATACAATACAAAGGTCGAGCTAGTATTGCAGGACACCAGCATTATTGGGGCTGAGAGTCACCCTCTTCACCTACATGGCTTCAACTTCTTCGTCGTTGGTCAAGGGTTTGGAAACTTTGAATCTAAGAAAGATCCTACAAAGTTTAATCTGGTCGATCCTATTGAGAGAAATACAGTTGGTGTACCTTCTGGTGGTTGGGTTGCTGTCAGATTTCGAGCAGACAATCCAGGTAAATAAACTAACTACCAAAAATAAATTTGTTCCATAAATTTATAATAGCACAAATTTTATGTAACATATTTCTGGGCCTTAACCATCCGCTTAAGCTTTTGGTTGAGTTGATCCTTTAACATACTCGTACAAAATATTTCTTTTGTTGAAATGTATACTCACTTATGATTGCGAATAGGGGTTTGGTTTATGCATTGTCACTTGGAAGTACACACGAGTTGGGGATTGAAGATGGCATGGATTGTTCAAGATGGAAAGAAAAAGAACCAAAATTTGCCACCTCCACCAGCTGATCTTCCAAAATGTTGAACTTCTAGTTCTTTTAAAGCTAATGTAGGCTAAAAATAATAATAGCTTTAGTTTGATTTCATTGTTTTCTCTTTTGATTGCATTCTTTAAATGCCTAAAGGCATCACAATTATATTGTGAATTTACAATTCAAGTAAAGATCATTGTAAATTTCATATATTTTTGTCATATAAATAGAATTAGGCTTTCCAGTGTGATATGAAACAATTTGTCAATTTGTGTACATTTTGTTACTCCTATGTTTGTATTAGCATGTATACGAAGGTAGTCAAGAAAAACTTCAATGTTTGAAATTTCAAATTATAATTGTTGAAGCTCGTTTTCATATAGCTCGATCAATAATTAAAATGTAGTAGTTAATCATTTTACAAAAGAAGTAATGAGTTATTCTCCTTATTGCCCTATGATATTAAGGTCGAACCTTATTCAGTCTTATGAAAAAATCTCTCTCAACAAGCTAATCTATATTAAAAAAAAAAAAAAAAAAAAAAAAAAGGAATAGGTGGACCTAGCATGATTATGTAATGTTTTGAGGCTCATCCCATGCGTATCCGTGCTAAGGCCGGTTGCTCAAGTCAGCTTCAAATCAAATACTATAAATTATAAAGTGGCATAATACGCCAAGTCGCCAACGGAATGCTCTGATCTCATTTAGGTATAAAAAAAATAGTTAAGAGAACAAATTGGCGACTGCTAATAGTTTTTGTTTATGAGGGATCTATTTATTTTATTTCCGTTGACCTTTATTGGTAGTTTAAGTCAAACCAAAACTCATGTGGCTAAGCATACTGTATGACTACTTCTAAAATAACAAAGTAATCCATATAATACTTACCAACTAACCCCTGTATTACTGACTGAGTAACCCTATAACACTAACAAAATAACCTCTTTAACACTGACCAAGTAGCTCCTATTACACTAACAAACTAACCTCTGTTACACGGTGTGGCTAACCACATATGAGACTTTGTGTTACCCCTAATATAACCCCTTGTTCCTTTATAAAATGCTAATAGTTTTTGTTTGTGGGGGATCTTGGATTAATGGGGGATCTTTGATTAATACTACTTGTTTTTATTAATTTTATATTATTAAAATCCATCATCATTTACTGGTGAAATTGAGTAATAACGAGCATTATTACAAGTACACAGTTTATTAGTGCTTTGAACATTTTAAAATTTTACTACTCCATACTAATTTTCTTATAATAAACAACTCGCAGGCAAAAACTTTAGGCCAATTTTGACAGGTGTACAAGTCACAAGTTCACACCCCTCTATTATAAATGTATCTAGACATTTTTTTTTTATTGGACTAATTCTGAGACTGGACTTTATAATATATACTTCGTATAAAATTCAACCAATAAAACAAACTATAAGGCACAAATTAAAATAGACAATGTGGGAATAACACCTTAATATAGAACTAAGAATCTGCATTAGAGTTGAATGATTCATGTAGGAATCACATTCAATTGACTAATATGCAGCAATAAACACCCCATACAAAAATTTGTGGACAGATTTGTCTAAGAGACTGTTATAAAATGACCTTTAATATTAGACTAATTCACCTTATAAAACTGTCTATTTTGACCTTTATTTGCCTATTTATAGATATTTATAGATGTGTTCGTCATTAGGCTTAATCATGGCCAACATTAAGAAACAACCATCAAATCCAACAGATGCAGGGGAAGTCATTGCTAGCAACTACGACCTTACATCCCAAATCTTGCTACGTTTGCCATCGAGATCAGTTGATAATCTAAGACATACGTCGAAGCAATGGTGTTCGATCTCCTCTGATCCTTATTTCATTACTAGTCACATACGCGACAACCCTCCATTGCTTTCGGGTTTTTTCCTTCATTACTTCGAAAGGCCACGAGCTCTGTCCCATGAGTATGTCGCGGTTGAATCCATTGAAAAAACCACTGTTGGTAGCTCATTACAGTTTGTTGAAGCACAAAATTCCTTAGACCTACATATTTTACAATCTTGTAATGGTCTCTTACTTTGTTCTTTGGATACTAAATACTATATTTGTAATCCCACAACTTTACAAAGGAAACAAATTCCCCTGCCTAAAAGCTGGCTCACCTTTGGCACTTACGCTCTTAATTTGGCTTACGACCCCAAACAGTCACGTCATTACAAGGTAAATTTAAAATTCGATGTACATTAAATAATTTGTTTTTGTTTAGAAAAGAAATATAATTCAAATCTTATTTTATGTTACGGAGTTGGTTTTTTTTCCCTTTTTTCTTTTTTTCTTTTTTTCTGTTTTTTTTTTTAATTATACTTCGAATTTTCTTATGAGAATTGTTTTGACCAAAGTGTAAATAAAATGTATTTTATTATGTTGTTTATAAAGTCATATAGTTGTTTGACTCGTCTCTCTTAAGGTTGTTTATGTTAGGAAATTTTACGGGCTACAACCAAAGTACCAAATTGAAGTCTATTCCTCGGAGACTGGCTATTGGAATACCTCAGGAGAGCCTTTCATCGAAGAAAATGATATCGACTTCAAGCACGGGGTTTTTTGCAAGGGTGCCATCCACTGGCTCAAACAAACGTCTAGCTGCCTATATTTCGACATCAATCAAGGGTGCCTAAAGTCCACGCCGGAGCCACCGCGTACAAAGCAGTTTGATACGACTGAATGTGAGTACTTTGGTCAATCTAATGGTCATTTGTACTTAGTCGTAAGGAGACATCTTCCAAACTTTATGCTCTATCAAATGGAGGATGATTACTCGGGTTGGTCCTTGAAATGTGTAGTTGATTTGGATGTTTTGGCAACAAATTTTCCAAGTATGGCAAGGAATTTCTATAACACATCGGTTTTTTCTCGAATTTACGAGTGCAATGTGCTGTGTGTGGTAGAGAACGGTAATGAAGTTGATGAAATCGGCCATGTAAATCTTGTTGTATCCATTCCTGGAGAAATTTTGTACTTCAATCCTTTAACTAAGGCTTCAAAGAAAATCGCTCAGTTGAGAATTAGTCCATTTGATGAGTCTGTTTGGTTTAGAGACTTCATATTGCATGAGTACTTCGAAACCATTTGCCCTGTTTAGTTTAGTGTTTACGTGTTCGGCCAATCGATTGACCATATGAGTGTATGGTATACATAAGTGTAATTTTGTAACGCTTAATGTCAATGTCTAGAGAAATGTTTGTATCCCGACAAATGTTTATAAAATTATATTGTTTCATTCATAGTACCATACTCTATAATATCATGCACATTGACATGCAAATTCGTTACATAGTACTTCTTCCGTTTTCTTTTAGATGCAACACACACTTTTTCACGGTATTTAATTAAGAAATGTGAGGTTCACATGATATAATATACTTTAAAATAGGATGAGTGGTTGTTAGGAGTGTAATTTAGTGGGTCATGTGCTTTAAATAAAGGAAATAGCATAGGTTTTCCCTAAAGTAACTTTTCTTTTATAGTGTGTTACAAGTATTGTGACATTTTCTTTTTAGGGAAGTGTTGCAAGGAAAAAAATGGAGGAAGTTGTGGAATTATATATTTGTTATCGTTACCTCCATTACCTAACTAGCATGCATGTTGTTAGCGTAAGTCATGATGCTTGTTATTATATTCGTGAAATTTATGGAAAAAATCATATATGCCCTTTTTGATGAAGCTTCGGGATAAATTTGATTATTTTATGTAGTTGACTAAGCAATTAATTATTTGCATGACATCATCCACCCCACCGTTCCTATAACACCAAAAAGCATAGATCTATTCATAATAAAATTTCTATTCCGCAAGCATAATCTACTCTTTTCAATCAATTTTTGAAAATGATAAACTATTTTTTGGACCACGGTGATGCCCGGCGTTCGTATGACAATAGTTATGATCGTATTTCAGTAATTCGGTATGTATGAAAAATTGATAGTGGTTGATTGATTTCTGATAGTTATAATGGTTTAATGTAATTGATTATGTAGTTTATGATTGACTCATTATTTTTAAGAAATAAAGTAATTCGGTACGTATGAAAAGTATATTCAACTTATTTTTTTCAATCAAATTAGTATTATGAAAATATAAATCGAGATAAATCTAATATAATCGTGCATGACTATAATACTTTTCCTTAGAGGTAGATAATAAATTAGTCATTGAAATTTTGAAAAATTATGTATAATTCAAATAGTTACACGTTAAAAGTTATAGTATTATTTAAAGTGTTTGTCCAGGTTTACTAGTTTAAACATACTACCACCCAAATTTATGCGAAAAAAGCCTTTTTATATATACTAGTTGAGCCATCGCGCGCCATGCGCGCGATAGCCCTATAAACACGGAATGAGTGTGATTAATGTTGTTATTTAATATACGGGCTATACTAATTTAATTTAGCCATTGCATGTAAAGGGTGTTATTATATCTTTTGTTTTTGTGTTTAGACCAAGTTTAGATTTAGCTAGGTATGTAATGGGAGGTCGTAAAATTTGTAAATACTCGAATGTTATTATTGCTTAAGATAATTTGTAGCAAATCGCTTTCTAAAAATAGAAAAACGACTAACACACGTGTGTATAGATATTGTGCAAATAAGGAAATCTATGAAAAGGGACTTTCTATTCTTGCATTTTTTAATGTACATGTACAGTGCTAGAATCTAGGAAGTCAGAAAGTTTTCCGTCTTTCAAGATTTTAGTCATTATTGCTTCACTTGCTTTTGATTGGTCAATGTGTGTACTTCTATTGCGTGGTGTATAAAGTATAGTCTGCTGCCTTTCTGTCTTTCATTTTCTGTTGAAATCTCTTTTTTTTCCCCTTTTTTTGTTGTGTCTTAAAAGTTTATCTTGTTCTTTGCTTGATTTTTAATTTCTAAGACATAACAATGGCAAGCACCGATAGCACTACCAACTCTGGCAGAGTATTTTCGCCACTAATTTGGAGACGTAATGAAGCGAAATCAAGAGAAGAAAACGTTGCAAGTTTCCATTTGTACTCTTTGGAAATAGAGATGAAGATGAAGAGGCATTTGAAATTTCTGCAACAAGGGCTTTCAAAGGTTGAAAGCAAAAAAGAAAAAGGTGAATCAAGTAAAAAAAAGGAAACGAGAAGTAGTAAGGAATGACTGTGGAGAATGGCCTGCTATCGTGATTGAATCAAACAATGTTGATGGTGAAATTAATCCTAAGGAAGGAGTTGGTGTAGAAGAGGATGGGAAGGAAAGAGACGATGATGATGAGACTGATGAAGATGTAGAGACCAAGGAAGACGACGAAACTGATGAGAATCCACAAAGCAATGTGAATTCTGATTCAGAAAGTGAGAGTGAGAAAAAGTTGTTGTCAATTCCGATGAATCATCCGAATCAAAAAGCGATAGCTATAATGATGATGATGATTCTGGTCCAGATTCTGATTTTGGGAACCAACAAGAAGGAAATCAAGAAGCAAGTGAAGATTCATCCATGTTCCGTATGAAAATATCTGACTAATTGCATTTTGTCTGTTCTTGATGGTTTTTTTGGGGCTAAGATGTAGTAGTGGTAGGATGAACAAAGGGATTGTAAGGGGTTTTTTTTGTGCTAGGCTATGACTGGTGTTCTAAGGGTTGTTGGTGTATTTTTTGGGTTGCTAAGCTAGATCTTGGTAATTAGTTACTTGATGGCACTACTTTAATGAATGTAATTAGCAGTGAGGGTAGTAAATTGTAATTAGTACAAAATAAGCTTTTTCTTTATATATAAAATTAAGAAGAATTGAGCTTGATTATACAGTTTTCGTTTGATGTGGTTGTTTATGCGTCAAATTCTGTTTTTTTTTAAAAAAGGGAAATCAAATAGTAAGGCATACTCACATTAGTTTTGCATCATAAGTAGGAAATTACTGATTACAATAACAGGATCATTAAGCTAAGTTCCTCTTATACTCTAAATACTTAGTGCTTGAGAAACTCTAATCAAGCACTTAGACAACAATAGATTAGTCTAATAAGAAGTGTTATATAGGAACAGGTAGTCTAGGAGACCTGTTGCTACATAAAACCATAATGCTTGATTGGTTTTATAGGTAAGCTTAACCAATCAGATAACAAAAGTTAGGCTCATTTAGATTGAGTATCAAGGCTAGCACGTCAACAATTGGTGTTGTTTAGGAACAGGTATTTCTGTAAAACCTGTTCCTTTCCAAGACCACAGCTTTCAAAATCTTTAAGCATAACCGATATTGTGCTTATATGTGGTTTTATTTTAAGACAAGTAATCTGAAGATACATGTCTTTTATAATAGCCACATTCTGCAAAAGATTTACTTATAATGCATATCCCTAATTAGTATGTACATAGCAAAATATTTAATAAGTGAAGCTGTTACCCAACTGATCTGTCATAAGTCTCTCTTTTCTTCTTCAAAGGTCATCCAAGTCATCTTCCTGAAACACAAGTGCTCTTCGTTTGCTTTCCTTCTCCTTCTTAATAGCTTGATTTGTTTCAGTAGAAACAATGTCTGTGTCAAAGGCAACACCCTTGCCCTTAACTGCTGATTGATAAGTTGGATCTTTTTCCTTCTTCTTTATGACATGTGCAGCCTTAATTGCTGACTGCACTTGAGGCTCAATAACGTCTTTTTCTGGTGTAGCGGTTCCAGAACTTGCATCAACATTCAGTCTTTTCCTCTTTGAGCCAGAATCTCCTGCACTTTATTGGGCTAGTTTCCTTGTTGCAGCCATTGCCTCTACCAATATGCAAGCATCTTCCTCTTCCTGGCTGAAGACTGATAGGTCATAAGCTTCAACTGTTTCTTTTTTTATGGTCTTGCTCAAGCTCTGGCTATCCGTGGCTGCAGGTGCATTGCCTTTTTCACGTTTATCATGTTCAATGTCAGCTGTTTTTGATGCATCTTTGACACCATCCCCTGCAGAAATATTTGCAGAACTGCTTCCTGCACCATCAGATGTGACAGTGTCTTCCATCTCCAAACCTTTTATACCCCATTGTAGAACGTTATTCTGTTCCAAAGCAATTGTAGGGCCAATCTTGAGTAAAAAGTATGTACTGCGCAGCTTAGAAGCTACCTGGGCAAACTTAGCAGTATCATCCTGAAATATAGATAGATCTTAGATTAATTTTATAGTAAGTATTTTGGTAAATTAAAGAGAAATGGTATCTGTTATTATTAAATGTAAACTTTGGACTATTTACCATTGCTTTCATGTGATAGATATCCTCGGCTGACATGCCAAGTAGTGGAACAGAATTTTCAGTAAATGCAGTAAGTTGCAGAGATCTTGTTCCATCTGAAGCAGTAAAAGTAATAGTGGATCTGCATAAATTGAAAACTTAGTGTTTGTTTTCAATTGTTATAAGTAACATATTGTTTTTGCTGTGTCATGCAATCCATAGGCGGTTTTTACCGGTAAGTAGCAGACACTTCATTCCTCTCACAAGCTATACAAGCATAGACTGTTCCAAGTGGTAGTTGTGTTCGCTTTCCACAGTAGGAACATCCTATATATGCTCTAAGCCGGTCGTACTAAATATCAGATGCTATAACTCTGAGCCAATAAATCTCTTGTGGAAGCGTTTTTGCTGCCTGCAATGTCAATATAATTGTCAGCATGATCTTGATTCTAGATATGTTAATCTAAAAATCATATAATCAAGAACTATTCTATTGATATTAATGAAAGCAAAAGAGAATTCTACAATAGATACATATAGATACTTGAATACACCCATTTGTGTCTCCCCAAAACCAAACCCAGTGATGAGTACCTTTCACGTCGAATCATAATCGAATGAAACGAAAGTGTGGAAAGGTCTAGTGTTGCGGAAAGTTTTATTTCTTTTCTTTTCTCCCTGATTTTGAAAAATTTATTTTAAGAAAACAGCTAATCCAGTTTGGTTGGTCCATGATATGGGTCCAATAATGGTGTAGTTGGATGGGGCTTGCAAAGACCTTTCCAACGATATATTATAAGCCCAATTTCGATGAATATTGAGGAAGTTATGACCAATTTACTAAACTGGACCCGGTTTAAGCTTTATGTACGGCCCAATGATCTAGGGGAGGGCCTAATATGATTTATCATTCCTAATGCAATTAGGAATGGTTTTAGTTTTCTAGAATCTTCTAGAAGGTTCTTTTCATTCCTAATTCAATTAGGACTTTTCAGAGTTTTAATTAAGATCAAATAGCATTTTCGAAGAAAATTATATTATTTTATCT